ATGTTATATGCTTGCCTTGTTTTAATGTAAGATGACTTATTAAGTAAAGAGGAAAAACATTTTATATTTTATATATTTATATTTATATTGTCATATCATAGAGCCTGAAGAAAATGTTGATAATGGAAAAGTTGCAGTGTTTTTTTTAAATTTGTTTTGGTTTTTAATTTTTTTAAAATTTTTTGTTTTGTTTTTGTTTTGTTTTTGCTTTACTTTGTTTTGTTATTTTTTCCCCTTTTTAAACTGAGACTATTCTTATAGCTGAAAACCTCTGTACAATATCAGCATTCACTTAAATGCTGTGTTTGGACACTTAGCAAAATTTTGTGGGTATGTATTTAAATCTCAGGGGAGCTTCTCTCTCTGTCACATCAGTAGCTGGCAGCTCAAGAGGCAGGTTTTCCACAACGATTCACTTGTCCTTTGATTGAGGAGAAGTGAAATAACACCTGTCTGTTTTTTTTCATGACTTCTACTTCCGAATTAAACAGGGAAATACAAGGACATGACAAAGAGAAAGATCTCAGCTTTCTGAATCTGTAACACTTCGGTTAGGCAATAGAGCGAAGATTCTGTGTCAGCTCTTGTTTATTCAGATATGCTGCTGCTGCCTCACAACTGATTTTCCTAGTCAATGTCTATTTCTGGGCATGGAGCAACACTGTGGAAAAGGACCTGGGGGTCCTGCTCCATGGTAAGTTGCACATGAGCCAGCAGTGCCCTGGCAGCCAGGAGGGCCAGCCCTGTCCTGGGGCTCATCAGGCACAGCATGGCCAGCCAGGCAAGGGAGGGAAAGGCACAGCATGGCCAGCCAGGCAAGGGAGGGAATTGTCCCTCTCTGCTCTGAGCTGGGATGGCCTCACCTCGAGTGCTGGGAGTGGTTCTGGGTGCCACAATGTAAGAAATATGTTAAAACATAAAAAACTGTCCAAAGGAGGGCCATGAGCATAGTGAAGGATCTGGAGGGGAAGCTGTATGGGGAGAGGCTGATGTCAATTGGTTTTTTCAGCCTGGAGATGAGGAGACTGAGGGGAGATCTCATTGTGGCCTTCAACTTCCTCACAAGGCAAAGAGGAGGGCCAGACACTCATCTCTTCACTCTTGTGACCAGTGACAGAATGTGAGGAAGTGGCCTGAAGCTGAGTCAGGGGAGGTTTAGATTATCAGGAAAAAGTTTTCAACCCAGAGGGTGGCTGAGCCCTGGAACAGCTCCCTAGGGAGGTGGTCACAGCACCAAATCTGATGGAGTTCAGAAAGGGTTAAGACACTCTCAGGTACACGGTGTGATTCTTGGGATTGTCCTGCACAAGGCCAGGACTTGATGATCCTGATGGGTTCCTTCCAACTCAGCTGATTCTATGATTCTATGATTCTATGATTCTATGATTCTATGATTCTATGATTCTGTGATTCTACGATTCTGTGTTCCTTTCCAATCAGCACTTCAGATAGTTGAAATATTGACTAAAAATATTTTGGTTTTGTCTGTTGTTTCATTTTTTAAAACTTTTTAACTTACATACATTGATTGAAAATGCTAAAACAAAGAAAAATATTGTTCATAGCAATGCTCTGTTTTGAAATTTCTAAAACAAAGCTTAAAGATCATGCTCTCCCTAAAGAGGATGATAGCAGGGATGTTTTGCTCAAAGACTGAAAGTGAAATCAGTTTGGGATTCCAGGAGTTTTCCCAGTGTATGAAGGGCCTCCTGCCCAGATGCTCACCAGTCCCCATTGCTCAAGACAACCATGGTGTCAGCAACTTATTTCCCTCTCCAGGTGCCAGACTTTTCTACATTTTGTCTCTGGAAGCCACCCACCCTGGACATGACTCTTGTCTCAACAAGCTCTGGATAATAACTGACTTGCATATTATTTGCATTTTATCACTCCTAATGTTTAACACTCATTTGTGTTGATTGTATAATATTACATCTTTGGTTATACACCTTGGGTTTTGAAGAGAGGAGCTAATCCGGCTCTGTCATGGTGGGGAAATGAAGGCTCTGGCAGGAGGAGTAGCTTGGATTGAGCTGGCTGTACCATATGGAAGGCAAACACACTGGATGGGTTCTCATCTGCTGCCCAGGGTGGGTTATCACTTGCAGCTCTGCAAAGGCAGAGCACAAGCCCCTGTTCTTGGGCTGTACCTTGCTCTGCTCTGCAGGAGTGTGCATTACTGAATATAATGCAAGTGGGAGCATTTGGCCTAATCACTGTTTCTGCTGAAAACAAAATCTCTCAAGTGGTAAAGACAAAATACTGCACTGAAAACCCCTCACATTTTCTGCTTCTGTTTATTGTGAAGTCTGCCTTATAAAGAAAGGAATCACAGAACAACCAGGTTGGAAAATACCTTTGAGATCATCAAGTCCAACCTGTGACCTAACATTACCTTATCAGCTAAACCAGGGCACTGAGTGTCTCATTAAGCCTTTTTTTAAACTCCTCCAGGGATGGTGACTCAACCACCTCCCTAGCAGTGCATTCCAATGCTGAACCACTCCTGTGAGGAATTTTTTTCTAATATCTAGCCTAAACTTCCTGGTGCAGCTTGAGGCTGTGTCATCCTGTCCTGTCACTGTGGGAGAAGAGGCTGACCCCCTCCTGGCTACAACCAGGCAGTTGTAGAGAGAGATAAGGAAGGCCAGCTTTATGTCACTACAGAAATGACCAAACTACATTTCTCCTTTCTAAGTTTAACAGTCTGTGCTCTCAGAAAAATATCCTACCAGTAGGCAAATATGAGCACAAAGACATGTTAACTTTGCTCATTTCTGTTTTGTCCTATCACCCTCTGTCAATACCCAGACAAGTGAAACAACCTTTGTAATTAAAAAAAAAACAGCAAACCAAACCCCCAAACAATTTCCTGTGTACTTCCTGCTATGGAACAGGAGGACATTAGAGGAGATCAGCTGTATCCTTGGGGTTTTTTTGTCAGCAAAATAAGAACATCAGAATTATGAAAATGTCCAAACTCAATCAAGTGTTCATTAGCATTCTGGGGAATCACTTCAATTAAAGAAAACTCTTATTTTGTCTGCATCACTAGGGAGATGCAGACTAAAATTGGAATGTAAATGTGCTTGTATTTTAGAATGATTTAATGTGACAATCTTTCTATTTGCAAATGTCCCAGCAAAGGGTCACAGTTTAACATTAAATTCACAGAATAAAATGCAAGTTAAAAAACATGCCAGAACAATTTACAGGATGCTGTTCAATTTTCTGGTAAAGAACACATGAAGATTTTTTACATTACATTTTTCTTTGAGACTTTACATGCTGCCAGTTCTGAGCCATGAATTGTTTGTGTTCTTAAATTCCAGTTTGGGAAGTTTACTAAGGTACTAGCAAGAAGCTCTAGCAAAGTTTCCTTTCATTTCCAAACCACTTCAGTGTCTTTTCCCACTGATGGGATAAATGGGCTGAGCATTTTCAGCTGCATCTCAGGTAAAACCAATGAAAATCAAGCCCTTAAGGCTCTGATTTTCAGAGTGCTTAACTTTAACTGTAGCTGCAGGTAATTGGAGCTGCTGGGGTACTGTAACCCTGAAAACTTGAAACAATGCTCTCTTTCTGAGGAGGATGGTCTTTGGATTATCAAACTTGCCTGGCAATGTGAGGTAGGATGACTTTGCACATACTGCCTAAAGTAGGACTATGTTTTAAGTTCTGTCTGCAATCTGGTTGATCACAATTTAGTGGGCTGTTCCTCTCCCCTGTGGAATTAAGGTTAAGAAAGTACTCTAGATACTCTGCAAGTAGGTACAGTAAATAGGTACAGAGCTTCTGCCCAGCCTGATGACTTTCCCATTGGGGGTTGGGTGGTGGGGAAGAGCCCTCTGCCTTGGAGGGGCAGCAGCCTGTTCCCTCTTTGCTGGGGATGTGTGCACACATGTGGGTATACCAGACCCTTGTGTGCACTGGGGTCCTGATCTTGTGGCACTGAACACATCCCAGCCAGTCCCCACTTTTACACTGTCATGAAGAGCAGTGTCTGCTCCGTCACACCCTGTGCAGCACAGTAAAGCAAAGCTAGGCACATTTTGTAGCTCTTAATTTCTTTGGTGGGGAAGACATTAAGAAATGATATTCCCATGTGTGATTATATGAAAATGTTACAAAATCTGTGACCTGTTCTCAGGCTCTCCACCTTTGCCATTGGTGTGCCCATTTACAAACCCCTTGGCTGCTCCTCCCAGCTGGGACTCCAGAAAAGAGCCAGGACTTGCTGGCATCAATGCCATGAAAAAGTGCCAGCCAGTATCACTGAATTCAGCAGAAGCAGAGCAAGGTTTGAACTCTGAGCTCTGTAACCGTCAGTCTGTGGTTATTACAAAGCGATAAACCAAAACTTAAGCCACCCTCTGGATATCTGATGTAGTTAAGATTGAGGAGTATTGTAGAATCACAGAATTGTTAAGGCTGGAAAAGACTTTTAGGATTATCAAGTAAGTCCCACTGTTAACCCAGCACCACCACCATACCCACCACTGAACTATGTCTTCAATGAATGAAACAAACTCCATTTGCACCAAAATCAGTATGCCAGGGTGAGCATAAATGGCCATCTCCAGCGACCATGAAGACATGCTACATTTAGACCTCCTATTGAAGCAGTCCTCCTGTGTCAGTTTGTTCACTTATGTCTTTAACTAGTGATCTTTCAGCTTTCAAGTGTGAAAATATAAAGTGCCACTAAAAAATACCATTATTGTCATAGTCCAGTGGGGTTCTATGCTCACTCTCTGTCAGTGTGGCCCATACCAAATAAGTTTACTAGACTATAATAGTACTAGACTAAAAATTATAAGTATTTTACTAAGTGTGAACCTTAAAAGCTGGAGTGTTATTGACTGAGTACATGAGAAAGTTTAAACCTGTACAACCAAAATATTGGTTTAATCCATTATCTGATTTCTGATAGTAGCCATGTGTTGCTGCATTGAGAGGAGTACAAAGCCAGGGAAACCATAAATCCTTCCCCAGTATAATATCTCAGCTTCTGATGAACCATAGCTCCTGGGCTACACATTTGTCTCCATATTCAATAGACCTGGATTGATTTTTTTTTTTTACTTTTCCTGTTTTGACTCATCACTCTCTGAAACCTGGGAAACTGGTGAAAGCCATTGGAAACATTTTTTGCAGCTGACAGTGTGTTTTACTTCTTCTTGTTGTTTTGAATTTGCTGTCTTTTGTTTTTCTTTGAAACATTCTCATTCTTGCTCTAGAAAAGACAATGAACACAAAATCCATGTTCATGTTAGCTTACACTTGTGATTGCACAGACCTTTTTTACAGTCTTGTTCAGCCACCTCTTTTCAGACTGAAAAAGGCTGATCTATTTAATCACTTCAGATGCAGAAACCACTTGGTAACTTTGTTATCCTAATACTCCAGTTCTGAACCCTTTTCAGACCTGCTGTACACTATGGGTGAGATGGGTGGGTCAGAACTGCCCACAGTATTCAGAGTGTGGTAGCCCCATATCTATGCAGTGTGGGATGATGGTTTCTCTCTCCCTTCTCTTTTTCTTTCTTAATAATTCCTCACATTCAATTTGCTTTTATTTTTTTGTTACTCCTGAGCATTGGGTTCTGACACTTTCATAGACTGTCTATTATATTTCCAAGACCTTATTCTTGAATGCTAATTTAAAGACTGTCACTGTGTATATGAAGTTAGGATTGTTTTTCTTTACATGCTACTTTACATTTATCTATTTTGAATTTCATCTGACACTTAATCATCCAGTCAGTTTGTTTCCTGCAGTTCTCTCTCTCTCTCTCTTTTTTTTTTTTTTTCATGAACTAAATTCTTATCAACAGAAAACATAGCCATCTTACTATTCACCTCCTTTTCCAGGTAATTTAGAAGTGTGCTGAACAGGGCAGACTTATCACATACCCCAGTAAGACTCTACTTGTACCTTCTCTGCATTGAGAAAATTAGTTGTTTAGTCTTCTTCCTCATTTTCTAAACCTTAACTCTTTACCTATCCCTCAAAGGCATTACTTTCCTACACTGTGGTGGGAAGAGTTTTTGGTGAAGGACAATGTCAAATATTTTCAGGAATTCCAGAGACTGAATCTCCATCAGTGTGTGCAGGATAGGGTGGGAATTGCTTGTTCACTGTCTCTGCTTGTACCTAAAGTAGGGGACATTGAAGGATGTTTCTAGAAGGCATAGTTGGAAAATAAAAAAATAAAAAAAAAAAGATTCTTCATGCAATGTGTAGTTAGCTTTCAAAGTTCATTGCCACACTTAATGTGTTACTTGTGGATTCAAGGGATAGACTTGTCTAGTTCACAGGTCACAAATTTGTTGAAGGTTACTAAATGTAGAGAAATAAAGGCTGCCTAAAGCACTCATGGAAGTTTAAGTGATTGGAAGCCCTAGGAGAATTCATCAGGAGCATCTTGTACATCTGTCCTGATTGTCTTCTCTTTCCTAGGCATTCACTTTTGGAGATGGCATTCTTAGCAAACCCATTCTGGCCACTCCTCTGCTTTTTTGTGCTATGTTCTTAACTGGGTCTATTATCAGATGCCTCCAGAGAATTCTGTCTGGTTTGTAAGACATGACTCCCCTCTTTGAAAGCTCCTTCCCCAGGGTACTGCACTTCCCCAATATCCTCTTATTTAAGTCCTACCCTTGCTCCTGATACAGTTGTCAAACTAGGAGATGCTACAGCTCTACAGATACACCTTTAACTCATAAAAAATTGTCATCACTTTTGCCATCCTCCATTCCTGCAGGGCAATGACAGCTCTAATGCCTTGCAGCTTCCTTTAGTAGGTCAGACTTTAAATCATCTGGACCTGACAATTTTTTACCTTAATTTTGACAATTTCTTCTATAGATTCTTCTAATGAACTCACTCTGAAGCAGTTCTTTTGACATATCTCCTGTGATGCATGAAGAAAGGTTCCAGCCCAGATATTTCCCCAAACTCCTTCAAGGCTGTAAAAAATCATTTAATTTTCCTCCTCTGCTTCATCTTCTCTGAAAGTTCCTTTTGTACTTTGATCAATTAATGGGCCTACAAACTCTCTAGCTTCCTGCTCCTGATGTGTTTGAAGAAATGATTAATTATGAGGTTTTTACGCCCTCTGAAAACTGTTCTTCAAACTCTTTTTTACTGGCCTGGAACAAGGGAACTTTGCTGAAGGCATTCATTTTGATCCTCTTTTTAATTTTTTTTTTTTAATTTGTACTTCAGTAAAAAAGGAAAATTCTTATTGATTTTCATAATTCTTAAGATATATAGCTCTTCTACACCAAATTTCTTACTCTCTTGGTCCTACATACATATCTATAAGAACAGTAATACAGCATATTCTGATTTTTTTGTGTAAAAACATTTTTTCATTTCCTCTGACACGTTTTTGTATGCTAAATAGCTAGATGCCTTTTTCTTTATAAGTGTACCAAGTTGCTTCTGTAAAATGCACAGAAGTAATATTTTATTCTTCTCTTTCTTTAGCTAGATGAAACTACTTGGATGCCTTTCCTCTCACCTGCTTACATCTGACTTGTAGCTCACTTTCTGCTTATGCCATTTGGTTGCTCTGTTGTTCTTCCACAGACCCCTTTGCACTCCCATATTGGCTTCTGGCTGATATCTGCTGTTTAACTTTATGTACTTCTGGTTTGGTACTTGCCCAGTCCCCAGTCTGGGGACTTGACTGTTCCTGGTCATTAGTATCTCCTTTGTTTAAGCATTTCTGTGTTGGCAACTTGACTACTCTGCTCAGCTTCTGAGCTTTAATTCTGTTGTGAATTAAAATAATCTCCTGGCTCTTGTTCCGTGCTAGGGGTGTACTGTGATTTGGGATGATTCTATTCTGCCTGCTGATGGCAACAGTCCTCTCTTGTGTAGCTTCATCTTTGTACATGTTGAGAGAAAGCTTCTATGTTTCTTTCTACCCTTCCTAAAATGTTCATATTCCCAGAAATCTTCCCTATTCACACCTTTATTTCTGCTCCTTTCTGCTCCTTTGCTTACAATTTAAGTAAATTCCCAGAATTTCCTATTTGCTTTTGGATATTCACAATCATTCAAATTTTGCTGAACTTGGTCTTATTGGAACATGCTATTTAAGCTGTTATTCTTGTCTTTGGAGGTTTTTCTGCACATGTACAGAAACTGGGAGGAGGGTTAAATCAGTAGCAAAATACAGCTCTTCATGTTTCAGGGAAGGAACTTCACATTTCAGTCCTAGGAACTTCACAGTGTCTCTGTCCCATGTCTGTCTCATGGGTCTGTTCATGGGCAGCCTGAAAAGCTGAGAAAACAGCAAACAAAACTGTCACTTTTTAGTCCTGTTGTGCTCCTTTTTTCACTCATGATCTTCCTGATTGACAACATCTGCTTTGATACTAGAAGATTATTTCTCTTGGCTAATTCCCTACTCTAACTATCTTTTGTGGTCACTGTATTCCATGAAATTTTAAATTAATATTATTAGAGATGTTGTGCACACCTAGACTGTTTAATTGCATAATTTTTTGTTAAGTATAAGATTTTTCTTCTCTGCTTTTTCTTAGCTACTTGCCTGTGTCTGATTTAATTTGTGACAATATCACTCGTTAACATTTTCTGACACTGACACTAATAATACTCTATTTCTCATCTTTCAGATTGCCATTCTTTGTCAGTTTGACAGTAAAATAATCTTTGACATTAGCAGAAGCAAGGCATCTCCCCTTTTGGGCACTTCTAAAATTTTCTGTAGTTTTAGTTGCCTAAATGTATCTAAGATTTGGCCCCACCTTTCTAGAATTACTCAATTCTATCTCTTCCTCTCCTGTTTTGTTTACCTCATTAGGAGAAAAAAATAGATTTTTTTTCCCAAAAAAGCAAGTTATGTGATATGATATAAATACTTAACCTTCTTGGAAATTAAACTGTTGTGTATTTGCAATTAAAAAAACCCAAATCCAAAGTGTATTGGAATCTAAGCTCGGATCTGAGTGTCAGAATGAGATTTGTAACTCCTTCATAACCACTGGCCATTGGGATTCTGCTGAACTTCGAGGTTCTTGAATCAAAATATTTCTAAAAAGAAATTTGGAGAAGTTTAGAAATCTGCTTTGAAAGATGGGACAACAGAACACACTGAAGAAGGACTAAATTTACTGCCTTTACCCTTTCCCTTCTACTGCCCTTGGATGTGCTAAGCAGAGTTAGGCAGACCTGTGCTTCTGTGAAATTGCAGGGGGAGACTCTGCCTGTACAAGGTTTCAGATGTGGCTCTGTATGGTCTGAGAATCTCTGCTGATGGCCTCTTAAGGGTGAGCATGTTTGCTCCTTGGCTTTTGTGGCTCTGGCTATGGAGGCATTTTTTTGCTCACCTCAACTGGTAAACCTAGCAATGCCTATGCCTGCAACAAACAAAATTTCTGTCTGAAGGAACTAGTTTTAGTACTTATTCATTGAGTGTTGATTCAAAACCAAACCAAACTTCTGTAAAACATAAACACCACCTCTGCGAGACAGACACTTGTTTCAAGATTGGCTGCTTATTTAAAGCATAAGATGCACCACTGATCTCTGTCCCTCAGAGAGACACGGTCTACTTTCACCCTGCCTTGTTTTCCAGCCCCTCTTTTAGTGCCCCCTTCCCCTTTGGAAATACTTGGCTGGCTCCTGGAGCACCAGCTGCTGGAGAGGCTGGGTCTCGGCTGGGAGACATCTCCTCCCTCTGAGCCCTGCTCACCATAATGTTTTCTGACAGGGTGAAGCTGGTTGTGGCTCCCTCTACACCTGCCCACCCTGCTTAGCTCAGCTGCACAGAGCATCCTGGGCAGTCATTTTCAGATGATAAAAGTTAGCTAATTCCTAGAGCAGGATGATTCTTGCACTGCGGATGGGCTTTCTTTTATTGCTTTGTTCTTCAGCATGTGTGAGGTGGTCGTGGAAGGATTGGGGTCCCATTAATCTGGTATCTGTACAAATCTTTAATGAGATGCTGTTCCCTGCTGCACAGCTTGCAATCTACAAATGTCTTATGACATATGATGAAACCCAATCTACAGAATAGAAGCAAAGGGATTTAATTGAATGTCATATCCGCAAAAGCCAAAGGGCAAAATCCTGGCCCCATGGAGGTCACTGGCCAAGCTCCCATTGCCTTTAGCAGTGCCAGGCTTTCAAGAAGAGCCTTTGCACCACAAGTATTTGTATTCTGCTCACGTTGACCTATTTCAGGTCAAAATTCCCTTTAGCAGTGCTCACTAAGCCATAGGGCTTGCTGGTAAACCTTGCCATGTTTAGCCAATGCAAGCTGACAAGGGCATGACATCATTAGCCAAGTTTCACATCCCACTGACCTTGCCATCATGACTTAATCTGCTGGGGTCTGTCATCCCTAATGGTTTGGTTTGACACTGCTTGTTGTGTATTCACCTACTACAGTCTGTTAAGAAAACATGGATATACAGAAGCTGCTGTATGTCTCTGATGGCATGTGAATTATAGCAAAGTTTAACACCACGTCGTTTGTTGGACTAGCATATTGACAGCTCTGTCTTGCTTTCTGATATCTGAGTTATGGATTTCTAGAGTCTGATATGTGAATTGTGTCACACAGAAATTACCACATTTTGAGGAAACTTGATATTTCTACTGAGAAGGTGATTTATTATGATTTCACATCTATCATGTTTGTCTTTCAACATTTCACACCATTTTACAGGCATCACTACCCTGATTTATGTTAGAGAGCGAGAACCAAAGTTTCACACTGACAGGTCTGACCAGAAACCATTTTTTCACTGATTAGGTCTCTCTGTGCTAGCAGAAGGAAGAGTGAGTGCCACATCTCCAGTCAAGAGCTGAAGTATTGCAGGACTGTTCTGCAGACCAAGCACACAGGCAGCTCACCTTCTACTAGGAAAACCAGAAGCAAGTACCATAAATTCCAGAGCACCATGTGCACTCTTCTCTACACCCCAAGAAAAAATCAAAACAACAAAACCAAACCAAACAACACAACCCCTCCCAACAAAGAACTAGAAAAAAGAAGAATCAACACCACCTAAGATAAATGATTTGGGCAGCTGGGGGAAAAGAGGGAGCATATGGACCTGTACCTCAGGCACTTCTATTTGAAACATCTTTCCACATTCCAAGTAATCTCTAGTCCTGCCTAACAAGCTGCATCCTGGGCAGCAGAGTGGGAATTTACTGTATAAAGTTATATAAGTTTTGCAGCTATTTTTCTGAACTCCTTACATTATTTTCATTAGAAATTTGTCTGTGTGGGGGAGTTGTTGTAGAATAAATGCAGGGGGTGAATTCAAAGTGCAACAATCAGTCTGTTCTCATTCCCAATGTGGGTTAAGCTAAACACACAGGGACAATTTCACTATGGATTAAGAATGTCCTCCTGAAGAGTTAGTATGCAATAACTATTCCAGGCTATTTCCCCAGGTAGACAAGCCTAAACATCTGATAAATAGGCCTATTCCTTTTCCTCTTAACCAATTAAGTACTTATTTTAGAAGGATAAAATGAATTATCACATAACTATTTCACTGCAATAAGTCTTACTTAGTGCATTAATGCCAGAAAAAGTGAACTACTGTCCATAGATTTGGAAAAAAAGGTATTAGTGTTGTGCATGTACAAGCAAAGGGATATCTCTTGACCTTATTTTATTTTGGGTAAAGATTATGATGTATTGTTGTTTTTGCAACTCTTCGCATTTATTTCACAAAATAAATCACATAATGGACTGTCATAATAGCCCGAGTAGCGTGACAGGAAAAAAGAATTGGTAGAGCTACACTTCAGTGCACAGTGAAATAGCTAACAATTTGTTAAATATCCCATGAGTGGATTAAATAGGCATATGATCAGTTATGTGGCTGCCAAACCACAGCAGGAGCCAATTAGAATTCACCAAAAATAATTTAGATGAAAACTGATGAATCTATCAAAACCTAATTAAATTTATGGAAAAAAAGCAAACATCTCGTTGACAGATTATATAACCAACAAGTTTCTCTGTAAATAGTCCACAAAGGATATCTACTGAAAGTAGAGCTGCATTATTTGATCTTGTTTGAAGAGCATCGAGTTTTTTAACATGTAATATTCTTCCTATTTAATTTTCAGGTAAATCAGTCACATAAAAGTGAGTCAGTTGGCTTTACATGAAGAAGCACAAAGTCATTCAGCAAATTGTAACTGTTGTTAATTATTTCATGGCTTGTCTTACGTGGAACATGTAAGAGTCTGTGGAGGGGGAGGGATTTGAATGGAGAAAAAAGATGCTGTAGACAGGGAGCTCTTTCAAGGATCTGATTTTATATCACAAACTAGAAAATACACTAGAAAATAAACACAACTGTTAGAGCTCAAGCTCTTTAATATTGAGATATTTTCTGAGGTATAGTGTTGGGGTAGAGGATTGTTTTTATATAAGTTGGTATTAGGCCACCAAATGGTGAAGCAAGACTGTGTGAGGATGAGCACTGAGGTACCAGGAACAAAACCCAGAAGGCAGAAAGGCAAGATACCTCTAAATCAGAGCTTTTAGCTGCAGTAAATCGATAAGCTACCTTTAGAAGCAAAAACTCAGGGACTTGCATGGTTATTCTCATTGAAATCCTGCAAAGAATCAGCCAGAAACAAGGCTGCTAGCAGATTATCTTACTCCAGCAATGTCAGGATAGATATTTCTAAAATGTACTTTACACTGCAGTTGTTTCTCAGATATCTGCGCTGTTCATTCTCCCATGAAACTGTTGAACACCATGAACTATAACCTGAGCTTTCTTTTCAGAAAAATTCAGTTTTCCCAGTGCACCAATGCTTTTGTGCTGTATGTGTTTTGTATGACTAATCAACACAACAAAGACTATCTGAGTATTACTAAAGATAGAGATTTTTCTCCCTGTGTCATTCAGGAATGAAGCTTTCAGCTGCCAACATAAGAAAGGTGATATGTGTTTCTCCTCTGTGCCCATGCTTGTTTGGTGGCCACATGGGAAAATGCTGGGGCAATGTCTAATTCATCTCTCTTGAAACTGGGAAGTTAGCAGTGACTTTCCTTTTCCCTTTCCCCCAAATTGAAGGCAAGTGAAAGATCCAATCCTTAAATACAGGTAATAGCATCCTTCCATCTTGAAGAGTCTGAATATTTACAGAGCAGGTATCTATGAAAATCAAAATGCAGAAGAGTATATGTTCTGTCATCACTGCTTGAATGTTAATGTTAGCCAGACTCATTACATAAAGATATCTGAATTACCCTGTATAAAATATTCTTACAGTCTAAGGAGACATTTTAAAATGAACGTGTCTTAGTGCATGGATCCATAACAAGAAGATATACTTGCTTTCTCTGGGAAAAAGAGCAGTCACACATGCCTCATGTTCTGATTTTTCTCACTTCTAGAATAAAACTATACTTTGAAATGAGGCAAAAAATAGACTAATTTAAATTCTTGAATTAACTTAAACTAAAGATAACCTAAAATGGAGGGAAACGGGGAAATAAAAAGGAAAAAAGAAAACTGCAAATGAGGAGGAGGAGGATGACTTATTCAATCAACTGTTCTACTCCCTCTAAGAGGTGCCTTCCTAAAAGTTTGGAGCTTTTTTGTGGTGAGTGGGGTAAAGTTTTTTGAGGGTTGGGTGTTTTTGCTTTTGGAGGCTTTTGGGGGTGGAATTAGATTTTTTTGGGGGGAGGTGGAAGTTTTTGGCTCATTTTGAGGGAGGAGGAGGGAAAAAAGGCATGAGAAGAATATCACAGGGCCCTGAAAAGGGACAAAAAGATGCTGTGTTTTGCTTGTTCTTGGTGTTTTTTGTGGTAGACTGTGAGGAGGAGGAGACTTTTTGCATGTCTACCCCAGGCAGCATAACATGTGTCAGCACAGGGGCTGCAGAAATGATGCACAGGGTCATACAAATAGATGACACACTATGCAACTTCACACCATGCCTAAATAGCCATGGGTGAGCTTCCTGTGGAAAACACCCAACAGACAAGCTGTGAACATGTAACATTTTCTCAGCATTTAACAAGGCATCACCTTGAGCTAAAGAGGATTGCTACCCTTTTCCTCCTTGTGCAGACCAATCCCAAGCCATTAATAAGTCCCTTACACTGCTGCAATGAGCACCTCAAGGACCAGGAAAAATAACCTTTTGCTTACATGACAAAATGCAAGAGCAGAATCGTTCACTAGGAATTTCCCACTGCTTTGTGGATTATATTTTATATTTTATATTTTATTTTATCTGCTGGATAATGAAGTCTAACAGAAGCTTAAGAGATCCTCTAAAAATGTGTCTGTTTGGTGCTGAACCTGAGACTCCAAATTCCTCTTGAATAACCATAGTGTTTGCCCTGCTCTGCTCTGGTGTATTGCATTATCACAACTTGACTTTAACATATTTTTTCACATGAAGGTCACATGACAGGTTGGACATTAGGAAGAATTTCTTCACAGAAAGGCTGATTAAATGCTGGAATGGATTGACCAGAGAGGTTGCAGTATCAATGTCCCTGGAGCTGTTTAAGGAAAGACAGGACATTGCATGGTCCAGTTGACATGGTGGTGCTTGGTCAGAGGTCGGACCTGATGATTTCAGAGGTCTTTTCTAACCCACGGATTGATTCTGTGACTCTGTAAATACGAAGCTTCTATGACACTACTAGAAGTACACCCTTTCCATATGCAGGGGTTGAATTTCACGCTTTGCTCCTGAAGAATGTGGCTCAGGAGGAATGCAAGAAAACTCCTTTAGATTCCTTTAAAACATATATCACTTTTTCCCACTGGGACTGGTGCAGGCAGGTGAATAAGGGCTAAGCAGCAACTGAAATGCATGCATGTCTTGTGGCAGATTTCATATAAGATGGTGCCAATGTGTCTTACATCTATCTGTCACCAAAATTTTTGACATTCTTGAAAATTTTGAAATTCTTGAAAACCTTTTTAGGGTACCCCTCCTATTTTTTGTAAGCAGAATGGGTCTCAAAACACCACCACTGGACACTAGTAATATACAGCAGTTTCTTATTAAAAAAAGCTTTGTTATCTGTTTGGAGAGGTAAACAGAACAGCTTGGTCTATGCACTAGCCTTCATGCAGAAAATTTCAAAAAGTCTCCTTGATAGAGGCACTACATGGTAAGGTACAGGAATGTATTACAGAGCATCTTTAAATGAGATGAAAAGATCATTTTTTAAAATCACTGGATATACTCCTGATAGGGAGCTTGATTTATACCAAATAACATCAATAAAACCATAGTCATTGACCTCATTAGAAGGATGCTCAAACTAATTATTTGTCACTGGTTTTACATCTACAATTAATTTTGAACTTAATTTTCAGAGGTACAAAATGCACTTCCATAACCCATTGATTTCAAATAATGTTTTGGGTGCTGGGCACTTCAAAAAATGAGGCTACCTTATCAACAAATTCAGTCAAATTGTTAATCCACATTGGAATTAATGGACTAAGCTACCAGAATCTGCAAATAAATTGGAAGCACTGAATAAGTGTGTCTCCTGATGGTTCTGGAGAGCAGCCTTTTCTAACCAGCCCTATCCATTTTTTCACCTGCTCTGACAACAGGCTGCCAGGCGTGGGCTGCTCTGCATGGCAGCAACCTTCTGCTAGGGCACTTTATGTCACAAAAAAATATATTCAGTGCTTAAAATGAGCCTATTATTAATAAACACCAACACATCTCAGGGGTGCAATTCATCTTAGCACCATCCTCGTAAAATCCTTTTTATTGTTTGTGTGATACATTCTCAAGATATTAACATTTTTATGTGGCTGGAAAGAGAAGAAAACCCCTGAATTTCACTCTGTGAACTCAAATCCAAAAGTGGCCAGTGCAGAAACTGTATAAAATTGGATAATCTGTTTACAGAAAGAGCTGGATGGGTAACGGAGCTGGCAAAGACATTCAGCTTTTACATAATTGGCTCAGATACTTTCCAAGTCAGAAGGGTCAGTGAGGCTTTACTGCCTGAGAGTTGCTTTGCAAAACCTGTGAAATAAACTGTACATTTATCATGAAAGGGATATTGCCCCTTATAGGAAAAATACCAACATGAATAACATTTCCCGGCATCATGGAAAAATGGTCAGGAAATAAACCAGAGGCAGCCAAACAACAAATGGGGTTTCAGGTACTTACAGGATCCTGGAAGATCTGGAGTCAAATGACTGGCCTCCCCACCCTAACTGAACAAACAACATTCAGACACCTGTATAAACAGCAATAATTATCTGTTTTGTTGATGTATTAGAAAAAAAAAAAAATCAGCATTTTAATTAACTTTGGGTTGGAATAAATAATCTTTATTTTTAATGTGATAATCTCAACTTCCATTTCCAGCATCTCCAAATATTGCTGAATATTATCTTCAAATGAATTTTGTCAAAATAATTCCTTAAAAGCTTTAAATCCCACATTTTAAAATATGCACGAATCTATTCTACAATAAATGGGAAAACTACATGCATGCTTATCAAAGAAAGCTAAAAAGACATGAAGTTTATAGAGTAAGACCATATTTATTTTTCCTGGTTGTTTTAGTATTTGAAGCCATAGATGAGAAAAAAGATAAACCTATGCTATATTAACAGATGTTAAATAAACTGCAAAGTAAGGATAGAGAACAGGTGAATAAAAGGAACAAGAAATCCACAAAATATAGCAGCTTGTCTATTTGAGTTAAAATGAAAGCAAAGCATTCACATGTGTATAATTTCCCAAAATATTCTGCAAGAGTAAAGAATTTCTTTTCCGTGCTTTTCTGTTCTTGATTTTCAGAGCTAAGTGCAGTAAAGATGAACATATTTTTGAGTTCTTATTGTTGTTTTGCTCCTACTAAACAGAGAAAGGAAGTTTAACCCTTTGAATATTGAATGTTCAGTTACAGGTCTTCCTGCAGGCTATTTGGAGTCCTTGCAGCTGTGAGGGAATTGCATGGCAGATCCAGGTAAGCCTGGCTGAAATAGAATGTTCAGCAGGGAAGGCTCAGGTATTGGGAACCCTTCTGTGCTCATAAGCTACAGGATCATTTTCCTCTTGGTTGTGTTGTTTCTGTCCTATACAGGCTGGATATCACTTAGCTGCACATCCCATAGAGGAAGGAATAACCTTCCTGCACCCCCTGCCCCCAGTGGCACAAGGATGGCCAGGACTTCAGTTTCTACAAAAATGTGTGATGACAATAATGAAAAACTGAAGCTGTCCTACCACTGTAGCAATCTGGTATTGAAGCTTTGACACCAATGTTATCTGTTAGGCACAGATCATTTTGATAGCAGTTATCACATGGGTGAAACCATTGCCTCTCTCCCTCTCACCTGCCTCATCCCTTTAACAAAAGGTGTCTATATGTATAAAAGTTTGTGCTGAGAAAGTCCTGCTTAGTCATGATGTGAGTAATGACTTCCAGATCTGAGTGTGGAGGGACTCTATGCTTGGAACAAGGGCTTGCCTTACTGGTATTTCTCTTCAGAATATGTAGCAGATTTCTGATATATAGATCTGTGATAGCATGCAATTAAATTTATCAGGTTCCAAAATTCAGAGAAAATCTAATACTTCCACAACTTTCAGTAGCTCCACAAGAATGTTTGACAGAATTTGCAATGCTTAGTATAGCAATGAATATCAGTCTGTGGAGGGCATTTTGAAGAGCAGAGTGCTACCATAGACAACAGCAAGGTGAGCTTGCTACCAAAGCACTGGGGCAGTGCAGAGAGTATTACTCTTTGCAAAACACTCCACAGGCCAACAGAACACAGCCAAGCAGACAAATAGTTGTGTTTCTCTCCTTTGTATTAAGCTGTGTAGTACCCCTCAGAAGGCCCTGCAGCAAAGGAAGATTGATGCATGTAACAGTGAATTTCTTCCTGCTCCTTGAGGATGGGAGGCAATTTCTGTGCCTTTTCTCTTCATTTTATGTGGTTCACCATGCCCTTTGCTTCATGCTTTTCGAGTCCTTGAGCATAATCAAAATAGTACATGCTGTCGGTAACCTCAAAGTAAGGCAGATAATTTAGAAAATATTTCCACATATCCTTTCTTCCCTGATTTTTCATTTGACCTCAGATTATTTTGGTTTCTTTTTGGCATCTAATATCAAAGACTACAGCTGAAGTCAGCCCAACAAAAGATATGTGAAGAGCAACATCACATTTTCAGACTGAGAAGGGTTCTTGTCTGGATGGTATAATTTTAAAGAAGTCTCATTTGCCTGCAATAAAATATTAATTCAATGCTTTCCATTTGCTGTTCTTACTTTCTTGTGTGCAGCATTCTTTCATACAATTCTGGTGTGTTCTAAAAATGCAACCAACCTAAGAGGAAAATCATGCCTCTAAAAACTTTCTGCTAATGGAATATTAAAATTACAAGTCAGTAGTGTTAAAATCACTGAGCAACAGCACTTTCCTGTTTACTAGAGAACCTACTCTTTCCAAATGGCTTTATCTTCCTCTTAGATCTTCCATCTTAGACTACTGGCCTGTGAAAAAAAGGAATAAATAAATAGAATTATGTGGTATGGCCAAAATGAGAATCACATTAGTTGCCTCTGGGAAGACTGAGCAACATTTCAAAAGTACAGTGCTCAGTAGCTCATTGTGATTTTCAACTGAGACCACTGGTGCTTAAAGGATACCTATCTAGGTCACAGTATTTTTTTTATCCATAGTAATTTTTTTATGCCCAAACAAATAAGGTGAGGCTTAAAAGGCAGAAAAAAAGGAGCAGCTTCTGTGTTATCAGAGTTTGCCTTGAGAAACTCGGTCACCTATATGGCTCCATAAGAGCATGTCATGTACACAGCATATCCACAAAACCATGTGTGTGAAGGCAGCCTACCCAGAAGACAAAAGCTTTTCCAGTCTTGGCAAAATGATTTGGTTTGACAGTTGATATGGGAGCCTTTTCAAGGTCACTGGGCACAGGAAACTGCTGGAATTTCTGGTAGTGGGGAAAAGTTTCTCCCCATGGTGCTGCTAAAGCTTTCAGCTGAAGAAAATGTTTCATCTGAGTCCTGACAAAATTGTTATAATGTAGTGAGTTTTAGAATGATAGAAAATACAGCTTTTGTTGCAAGTTTACAGCTGACTTGGTGGCTGCCTTATGATGTCAGTGTGCTGCTGAGCAGGGATGGTAACCAAATGGAGGTAACCAAATACCCCTGTGAAGTTCTTTGGGCATCACTGAATCTAGCATTTACTGATTTCTGTGGATGAAAAAATCTAGGAACCAGTATAAACTGCAGACCAATATAATACTGTATAGATATTAAAGTGCAAAACCTGTCCATGCAATGTTTCTCCTTTAGCTCCAGGCACAAACGCAATTTGAGAGACATTTTCTTCTCAAGAACTTTCAACATCTTACTATTTGTTATGCATGTTGAATATATAATTTTTAGCTTTGAATTATGTCATCACCGTCGCCATTCAAAAGACAGCATGTCATCTTGGCTTAGTGTATGAATTATGTAGAAACAGTTTTAGTACTTTATTTTCTGTAGTAATCACATATGCAGTCTTGACATACTTCATGTTCTCTTTAGCCTTATGGAAATAACAATCCCTATGAAGCAAACAGGTATTGTCAGTACTTATAAACTATTCTGAGATGTTGATCAGTAGTTAATCATTGAGTATATAAAATGAAGCTCATGCCATTAGCTGCTTTTACAAGGGCTTCTTTTTTGTGAGCTGGAGCTCCAAGTGTTGATATAATGATTTCCTGTTTTCATGATGGTGCTCCATCTTCAAACATTCTCTACTCAGAGCACTATCTCAGTTACTCAAAATATAAAACAGAATACTCTATAAATCTAGAAATAAATGTACAAAGATATCATTTTATGCTTGATGTATTTGTCATAGGTTTCCTTAAGTCAAAAAAGACTTTTATCACCAGTGCTTCTCTTTTGATGGGAACTGCTTAATCATGAGCTAAGAGTAATGAAATTGAATGAGAGGAAAGGCCCACCTCACTCAAGTACACTTTCTCTAATGCTCACCAGTAGCAGTTCACTATGGCAAAGTAAGTAGAAGCAAAAATAAGTAGAAGCAACACATTTATGTCAGTTTAGGGACTTCGGTGTAAATACTGCATACACCTTGCTTTATTCAACAGCTCTCCTTGAATGTTGGTTGTAAAAAAATGAAATGGTTTTGAAAACATTTGTATTTCAGGCAGAGTCTGATATTGTCTTACTCAGACCTATTTCTTTACTTTAAATTTGAAGTTGGATAATTTCAACTCGTGGATTATAGATCTTGAATTATGAGGGAGAACATATAATGATTTCTTATATTTCATCTCTATATCAGCCATGATTTTAATACCTTGATTGTGTCCTCCCAGTTATGTCTTTTCAAAACTGTCTTCAGGTTGCCTTAGTTTCTCCTTGGAAGAAGATTGTTCTATCCCCAGTCAGAAGATTTTCTAACAGAGGCATCATTCTCAGTGGGATCACTGTAGGGGCATTATTACAGCATAATTAGGCTCTAATAGGCCTCAAACTGTGCTGAGAACTATCTACATATTTATTTCAGCACCTCTAAAAGCAAATACAAACAAATAATATAAATGAAAAAATGTTTTCTGTGAGGAAATCTGACAGTGTAAATATAGATTCATGTTGGTGTTTCAGGAACTTTTCTTAGTCCTTACTGTACAGGTGGAGAGAGGGTGAGCTTCCTTTTTTTGTATTTCTTTTCATAACTTGGTTTTATATTGAGAATTTAGCTGCCAGCCCTTCCTTGACAACAGGCATATAAATGAGAGTCATGTAAACCAAACATGTACACACACACAACCCTTTCACTCTGGCATCTTTCTTACACTGCAGAGCAGCTCCTGGTCAATTCCTGCTGCAAAACCATGACTGGCAGTGCTTCAGCAGTATCTATACGTCTTTATGCCAACAGTTGCTAGTGAAGGCAAGGATAGGGCATTTGTCCCAATCCTCTGACTTTCCCCAGGAAGACTGACAACTGGGAGAGCTCAATATCCTTGAAAAATAAATGTTTATTTTCCAACATATTCCTCTTATTACTCTTCTCTCATCTACAAATTAACTTCTACTGAAGGGAGGAGGGGAACACCTGACTTAGCTGGGAAGAGAGCTGGGAATATTTGCGTTGCCTTCCTGACATTACTAATGTCATTGTTCATTTTCATTTTCTTGAAATGTTGTAATTTTCAGCATTTTAATGTAATTTTGGAGGACATAGTCTAGCAGAGAGTTCAAACCTAAAAATTAATTTATCTATGGGCTTTTATTTTCTAATATTTTCTTCTAAGTATTTTATTCAAAACTAGATGATTCCAAGGTCATGTAGCATCAGAATCCCAGTGTTCTTTAGCAATGTACAGAAAATACACAATTAAATTAAACTGTAAAGTGAATGAAACTGAATTGCTGGGAGGGGCAGAATATCACCCATTTTTACTTCAGTGCCAAAATGAGGAGTCAGTCTTCTTTTTGTCTTAGGCTAAAACAAGGGAGTACGTGGGGTCAGGAAAGGCAAAAAAGAAGTTTCAGTTCTTTGAGGGATCCAAGAAGGCCATTTGGCCTTGAAACGAAATACTTAGTTAGGGTTTTTTTCCAATATAAGTAGAGAAAAATGCAGGTTTGGAATTAGGTCCAGGAGGGAGAACCAGAAGTGTGGCAAACACCCACATCAGAGATACTGATGGTAATGATGTCAGAGCTGAAGATGCTCCTCTGACCCTCTCAGTCTGGTCTCTCCCTATGTCCACACAGCGTACATGTAGGACAAGTCTGGCCATCTGCCACGGGCTTGACCTTGTGTTTCCCAGTGGTTCCTGGAAAATGCCAGCTTTCCAGAACAACTTGTAGCTCAGGGAAAAGCCACCATGGGGGAAAAGCTGCGGCACTGGAGAGGACATAGCTGGATCCTATCTTGTCCTGGGTGTGGACACTGAAGCAGTTGTTTTTCGTAGGAATTTAATTATTTTTGATACCTCTCTCTTGCTTTAGAACATTGTTGAAATTGGCTGAGTGCTCTGCTACATACTGTTGCAAAGCCCTGTGATGATCTTTGGAAAACATAAATGGTTTTGGTGTATTTTCATAAGTTTTCTGAAAACCTCTTTTTCTCCTGTTGATTGAAGTTCAAAAGGAGTATTGTGTGCTCCAAAACAGGGGAGAATGTTGCCATGATGAGATCCTGTCTTGCAGTATTCCTTTTTTTTTTTCAAATGCAGAAAGTTCTGAAGGACATTTTTTTTTCTGCAGGGCTCCCTGCTTGGAGAGCTGAATTAAATCTACAAAAATATTAATAAAGTTTAAAGATCATTCCATAAGAAAGCAATGAAAACAAGTGCATGCTCTAGCCACAGAAAATGTAAAAGGCTAAATGAATTCCCCATTGAAGTGGTTGCCAGGTTGTGCTGCAAAGGGGATGAATTTGGCTCAGAACTGAACTGCAAGTTCCCAGCCTCCCCAGAGGTTTGGTTCTGTTGCAGTGTCTCTGCTGCTGTGAACAGCGACTTCTGGGAACTGCGCCTTCCCTCAGTAACTCTGCAGCAGTGCAATCCTATATTTAATCAATTCAGGTTCTAGAAATACATCATTGCCCAGCGTGAAAGTCACTGCACAGACCCAGAGATTGAGAGATTGTACTTAGCCCCCACCCAGAAATGTTAGACATTCCTTTGTAGAAAACCAGATGCAATGCAAGTGAAAAAAAGAATGAAAATACTGCGTCAGACTTCTCTGCCCTTTCAATGGGTGATAAAACTTTGGGGAACTTTGGGCTGGTTTGTTCAGTGGTGTTTTTTTCTTCCTTTTTTTTTTTAGGGAGTGGTGTTTGTGTTGTTTGTTTCATTTTGTTTTGATTGAATACTCCTCATCCCTACTTGACCCTTGGAAAACAAAAGGGATTATTTAGGCACGTTGTACTTAGGCTAATAAGTTTTAGATGTAACAGTAACTTAAAGCAACCTCATGACTGTCTCAGGAAAACAATAGAGCAATAAAATCAGTGAATGCAGAAGTTTTATGGGTATCACACCTACAAAAAATCCCTTTGTTTCTCATGGTCCAATCAAAAATTAAAACTTTCTTGTAAATGGGCTGGGGAATCACAATACACCTGCTCAAGAACTCTATCATGAATACCAAAGTAAATCTTCATCCTCAAATAGAGTATTTCCATCTGACTCAACATTTTGCTTACTGCTTTCTCATGAATGGCTGCATATGGGTATCTTCCTGTTTGTGCATTACAGGAGCTGTATAGAACAGCTAACAGATATCAAATAACTAACTTTACATGAGGACAATGTTGAAAATAGATTCCTTTTGAAAAATCCCACTGAATGGAGAAAATGGTACTTTTTAGCATCTCTAAGGCCTTTATTCTGCCTGCAGAAAAAACTTGTTTACTTTAATAGGAATACACAAAAACATAAGTACTTGTCTGCAGAAAAAAAATGCAGAATTTAATGTAAGATTTTAATCCAAAAAATTTTTTTAAAAATTAATTCAAGAAGAATTAATTAACAATAATAGACTGGAATATGCTTTCTTAAGGTCATCTTAAGTTTATTATTAATGGGTTTTAATCAACCCCAGACAAGGATTTCTTCAGTGCAGTCTCCATTGGTATAAATTATTTGCTGCAATTACATGTTTAAAAAGGCTTTGGGCTCTAACCTGCTTGTTAGGCCAACAGACAGGGGATCTTGGTACTGTACTAAATCTGAAGAACATCAATAGGATTTTTCTACAAGAGGACGAAATTTTCCATGTCCAGGTCACTGTGGGATGTTCAGTCATTTGGCAAAGCTCAGGGAACATCCTGTGAGACTGCAGGAGCCCTTGACTGCTGGTGTTGGTGAGAGCAGAAATCTGCAGCAGGACCTCTTTGTGCAGCACATGACACTGTTCAGATGGGTTCTTGCAAGGCAGCATCTTCCTTCCAGCCCCTCACAGCTTCCTTCTTATGTTTCTGGAAAGAAATGATACAGATTTAGTCTCAGCTGGACTGAATTGCTTCCTTTGAAAATGCTGAGGTAGATAATTTCAGACATTTTGGAATGAAATAATCTGAAACATTGCTAAATGCAAAGGCATTTTTTTTCTCTTTTGAGTAAATTGTAATGATACTGTAATGTTACTATTACAATTGTATCAATTTTAGGAGTTTCCTTTGCAGTTATCCAGTTAGGATTAATTCACAGTCTCTACTGTATGAATTTATGGCCCAAGAGGCATTATGAGTGATGATAATAAACAAGTCCTTAGCATTACTTTAAGTGAAAAATTCAAACCTGGAAAAATGTATTTAATATTATGATAAGACAGTGAGCCACCACTATTGTATTTTACATAAGGGCATACAGGGCATAAAGGTACTTATTTTTATTTCTGGTGAGTAAAATCAAATCTCATTCAAAAACTATTCTGTTCATAAGTATCTTCAGTGCAGTGGCAATAATTTGCACAAACTTTTGGAAAACCCAATCTGAATTCATTAGTTTTGTAATTCAGCAAGAAATGGGCATATTTAGCAAGAAAGAAGAGAACTCAACTGAAATAGCCTGGTTTCAGGACACCAGCATGAAATTGTATTGAATACCTTTTGCTGCTAGTGCTTAGAGCTGCTGAGAAAAAGAAGAACACCTCAATGAATTAATGCACTGTAACACCAGTCTTACTAAAGCACACAGTTTGTACATCTGATTTTCAGGACTGTGCTCAGTCCATTGCATCATTTAAAGCAATGCTTGGCATCACTGGGACTGTTGTATGGGCTGCTGGACCAGAGACACCTCCTGCATGGTCTTGGGCAAGTTCTTTCACCTTCTGTTTCCCCTGTCATCGCTTGCCTGTCTTATCTGCTTAGTCTGGATTGGAAGGGTCTAAGACAGGCATTTTCTCTCCCTGTTTGGTCAATGAAAAGCCCAGCTGAGGCTCAGCTCAGCCTCAGCTTTTGTGCATTGCTGTATTACAAATACTGCCTCTTAACTTAGATATAAATGCAGTGCATCACACATGGCAAAACCAATGTCCTGGTAATAAGACATCTCTTTAAAACATCTCATATTCTCAAATCCCAGAGAGAAGGAGAAACCACCTTATTTATAGGAGCAAGTGTGAAGTTTGGAAGGACATACACTATCAAAGTTTTGTTGCTGCACTATCACTTGTTTAAATGGATTATTCAGCTTCATAGCTGCTGGGTTTTGCCCAGCAGACTATGCAGGCAGAGCTTCATGCCTTTTGATAGAAAGGCCAAGTTTAGGCTGTCTACCTTCCAGACAGAGGTGTCAGCTAGTTGGGAACAGGAGGTGCAGAAAAGCAGAATCCAAAATTGCATTACAAACTGATTCAATTTTAAACATACCTGCAAAATAAAACCATCATCCTCCATCAAAATAAACTAAGCAAGCTTGTGACTTTATAGAGGGATTTTTAAAATGCTGCCTGTCTTGATATTTCTTGCTCTTGCCACTTAAAATTCCCAGATAAACAAAATTTACAAGCATAGTAGTTGGTGCAGGAGGTATTGCAAGATTGTGATACCAGTGTGGTTCCATGCAGCATCAAGAATTATTTGGTTGGGTGGGAGCTATAACAAGGAAAAAGTGATTAATTTAGTATTTTTCCTTCATATAAATTTCTTTCTGTCTTGAGACCCTGTTTATTTTGTTTGATATTCTTTTAAACAGGCATGAAATTGTTGAAAATTTCTATAATTTCTCATCCTCATTTTCCATCAGATTACATAGATAACTGCATCCAAGTTTAGATTCTTGCTTCTGGGATCCTTATGCAATTAGATTCCTGCTTAAGATATTTTTCACAGCCCAATTAGTGTGAAAGCCCCAGTTTGTCCGAACAGAACTCCTGATGTTCCCACAGAAGAAGACTGTCGCCTCCCTGTTCTGGTGGAAACCACTCAAGCCAGCACTCTCCTTAGAAAGGAGAGAGGAAGGTTTCAGGGGCTGGGGCATGGGCTGGTGCCCCTCTGGCACATCTCTCCACCCGGCTGGGGCAGGAGATCCTTCCTCACTGTGGAGCGGGCCGGGCCGGTGCGTGCAAGAGTTCAAAATACGCCCGTGAAGGACTGGTTTGGGAGGTTCGAAGCACAGGAGCGACACCACTAAAATGTTCCGCTTAGCTAGATGCGGCTATTAGGATGCCTAATAAATATTTATAGCCCCTCACCGAGGAGGTGACTGACAGCACGGGGGCAATCCCTACCCTGCAGCTGCAGGCGAGCAGTCGCCTCGGGGGAAGCATCCCGGGGCGGGGGTCGCCTATGGTAGGGTGGCGTTGCTTCCGCGCTCGCGGAGGGGCTTGGGCCGGCCCTGGAGCTGCACAGTTGGTGCGTTCCCCCTGAGGCGCTGCGGGCAGGGCCGGGCCGGGCAGGGCAGGGCAGGGC